GGCCAATTCTCTTGTTTTAAGGGTCTGATAACCAAGGCTCAGAGAGGGACAGCAAGGTGCCCAGGGTCACACAGCAAAGGAGATCTCAGGCTAGGATCCTCCCTTCTTACCCGAGCCACATCTGCACTGCCTCACGTACCTGACACCTGGTTGCTATCTTCATCTCGGCAGCGGACAACATACTCCTTTAGGACGCCGGGACAGGTGCTCAGCGGGGATGGTGCCCAGTCCACGGACACTGAGTCCAAGCTATGATTCTTCACCGAGACGTGGTGCGGTGTCCCAGCTGCTGAGGCTGCAACCAGTACCATTGTCATAGTAAACGCCAAGAGTGCTGGTCGAGGCCTGGCACAATGATTCGCTCCTGTAATCCCAGTACTTTGGGAGGCCGAGTTGGGTGAGTCATTTGAGGCCAGGAGTTCGAGACCAGCCTGGCCAATATGGCAAACCCCTTCTCTACTAAAAATACTAAAATTAGCTAGGCATGGTGGCGGGCACCTGTAATCCCAGCTACTCAGGAGACTGAGTCAGGAGAATCACTTGAGCCCAGGAGGCAGAGGTTGCAGTGAGCCTAGATGTCGCCCATTGCATTCCAGCCTGGGCGACAGAGCAAGACCCTGTCTTAAAAAAAAAAAAGTCCGCCGTGGCGACTTATGCCTGTAATCCCAGGACTTTGGGAGGCCAAGGAGGGCAGCTCACTTAAGGTTAGGAGTTCGAGACCAGCCTGAGCAACATGGTGAAACCCTGTTTCTACTAAAACTACAAAAATTAACGGCGTGGGTGGTAGGCGCCTGTTTAATGCCCAGCTACTCGGGAGGCTGATTCATGCGAATCTGCTTGAAGCAGGAGGAGAGGTTTAGTGGCCAAAAAGATTGGTTGCCATAATTCCAGCCGTGGCAGGAGTGGACTTTGTTTTAAAAAAAACAAAGAAAAAAAAACATGGAGTGTGGTGAGCACTTCCTGAATGCCGCGGCCCTCCCTGTCCAGGACCGGGGGTAGCATTGGCACGAGTAGGTTGGCTGGGCTTCTATTTTGGTTCTTGCCACTCGTCACGGTCTTTTCCCCTTCCCTGGGGCTCAGTTTTCCACTATCTATAAAATGGCCAATGTGGCGGGCGCGTGGTCCACCTGCTAATCCCCGCCTCTTGGAGGCCAAGGAGGTGGATCCGGATTTTAGGAGTTGAGACCGCCTGGCCTCATAGGGATGAAACCCCCGTCTTACTAAGATTTCAAAAAATTAGCCAGGCATCGTGTAGCGCATGCTATATCCAATACTTGGGAGGCTGAGGGCAGGGGAGGATCGTTGAAATCCGGAGGGCGGAGGTTGTAGTGGCCAGTTGTGCACCATGCACTCCAGCCGGGCAACATGGCGGCTCTGTCTCCCCAAAAAGAAACGATGCTGGTTAGCCAAAGAATGGTCAACTAATGATTCAGCACTTTGGGAGGGTGAGGTTGGTGGATCTCTTTGAACCCAGGAGTTCAAGAACCCAGGAAGGACAGCCTGGAACATAGTGAGAGCCTGTTATCATACAGAGAAAAAATTTCCAGTCATGGTGGCATATGGTGTAGACTCCCCAGCTCTCGAGGAGGCCTGGGAGATTCACTTGATCCAGGAGTTCGAGGCTGCAGTGAGCTATGATTGCACCACTGCATTCCAGCCTAGGAAATAGAGCAAGACTCTGTCTCCAAAAAAAGAAAAATATGAACAATGCCACTCAGAATGTCTTTGCTGTCCACCGAGCTGACCTCCATATGTCTGGCCTGACGTGCTACAGGTGCCTCTAAATGTTCATTCTCTTCTCCTGACACTGAGAGTTCCTGCTGAATCCTCCATAGAGATAAACCCGCAGGTGGCTGAGTGCAGTGGCTCACACCTGTAATCCCAGCACTTCAGGAGACCAAGGTGGGAGGATCGCTTTAGTCCAGGAGTTTGAGACCAACTTGGGCAACGCAGCGAGACCCTGTCTCTATTTTACTTT